TCACTAAATCTTCATCATTTTCCTGAATTACCAAGTTATTCTTGATGACAATAAACTGTAAATACAAATCCTTAGAATTGTTCAACTAGGATTGAAATTACCCTGCACAGAAAGTTGTTCTTGGCTATGCATGATGAATTTTTGATAGATCAAACAAATTAGTTGTCATGAAAGTGTCTAAAGTTTGAAAAAGACAAATCAAGGAAGAACAGAAACAAATTAGTTGTCATGAAAGTGTCTAAAGTTTGAAAAAGACAAATCAAGGAAGAACAGTGGAATCAAGCCAGTGACCATTTAAGTGATCATAAAGATATATCGGCAAAGTTTGAGGATAAAAGGATCTTGAACAGATTCTATCATCAAACACAGATAGGGAAAAACATCAAAACTGGTTCATGATCTGCGTCTCAACATTTGATGAAAACGATGGAAACAATTAGTACCCCATGTGTTATTGAAGTAGAAGACATTACAAACCAACCACATGGAAAGTTGGGGAAAACGACAATTCATTTCAATAATGACAATAAGGACAAAACAAAAGCAGCACAACAATCAATGAGAAACAGATTAGGGAAAAGGAAAATTTCAATGCGTAATGCACAAAGTTAACTATCCAGAACTTTCTCTAACAGAATCTCTAGCACTTTCCCGGAAAATCAAACCCAACGCTTAAACCCGCAAACTTCCCCTTTCAATTTCCTTCACCTCCAGAAGCAAAACAGAGAGAACAAGCCACTAAAAACTGATAAACAAACATCAATCGTAAAAAAAACACAAGAACTAACAACCCTAGCAAGAGAAACTCAAATTCCTCAGCAACCAAACACGATTCAAGAGAAGAAAATGAGAAACGAACTGGTGAGAATCGGAACTGACCTGGAAAACACCGAGCAGGGAGAAAAAAAAATCTGCAGAGGAGGATTGCAAGAACACATAAACCAGAAACAAAAATGTGAGTGAAAAATTTATAGATATGAGACGGATTGAAGCAGAATGAGAAGAGCAGCCAAGTGGCCGGAAGTTTAACTGTTTTTGGCAGCAAAGCAAATGAAAGCGGGAGAAAATATTTAAATATTAAATAAAATATAATTATTTTAATTATTGATTTTTTTTCTCAATCCTTGACAGCTCACTCTAAATATTTTAATCCAATTTTTTCATTAAAAAAATATTGTTTTAGATAATAAAACATAAATTATAATCGATAACAAACGTGGTCGTTATATTTATTATTATTATTATTATTATAAATATGACAGCAAAATTTCTCTTCTAAATATATTTTTATATTTTTTTCAATAATTATATCATTATATATAAATATTTTTTTCGTATAATTAATAAGAAAATACCTAAAATATTTTATCATATAGGATAAACCTTATAATTACTTCTTTTTTAAGATTCGTAAATTAAAATATGGATATTTTAAAAGATGTTAAAATTAAGTAATAAAAATAATTTTTAAAAAAAAGTAATTCTCTAAATAAATAAATAAATAAATAAATAAATATATATATATATATATATATATATATATATATATATTTAATTACTTCTTTTTTAAGAGTCGTGAATTTAAATATGGATATTTTAGAAAATGTTGTTAAAATTAAGCAATAAAAATAATTTTAAAAAAAGTAGACGAGTATGTTACGTATCCTCTAAAAAATATTATTTATAGATTTTTTTTTTTTATTATTAACTCTAGGTCAAACTTTGTATTAAAGTTGGTTAGATACCTTTTTTATTTAGTCGGGCTAACTTCATATTAAAGATGATATTAGTCTGATATAAATCAATTTTAAGATAAGATTTGTTAGATATATCTTTTGTTTAGTCGTGCTAAGTTGGAAGAATCTATCGGTTTGACTCGAGAAGGTATGTATTTGCTTTGGATCTAGTTGCTTGTTGGGCTCTATTCATCACGAACATCGTCGCTACTTAATCGTGAAATGACCTCTTAAGTTTAGAGATTAAATATATGTGTTAGGTTTTGGGATTTCGAGTAACATCTATAATGTTACGTACCCGTGATTCCTTGATGGTGACTTAAGCAACTCAAATAGAACTCACAACTGAACCGTTTATTCTATTTTAGGGTAAGGTTGGATTTGTAACCCTACTTTCAAGTGGGTCAAGTTGATCCGACGGAGGAAAAAAAAAAAAACAATCTGGAAACTGAATTAAATTTATAAATTTTAAAAAATTTTAAACATGAATATTTTTTATTTTTTACTCAACCCAACCTTTATAATTTGAATTAGGTAGCGGGGTTATTGGGTAATACGAACCTCTCTACTTATTATTATTAATATTATTATTATTTAACTACGTAAGTCGTTATTGTTGCCTCTTTGTTTGAATCATATATAACACCAATTTCAATCTCTCAAATCTTGCTTTCAAAATCTCTCTGTCCCGTTTTTAAAAGCTTTCTTCTTAAACCGAGACAAGAGGTTCGAGCATACGTTGTCTGGCCATAGACGACTAAAAAACGAATTGATATAACTCACTTGTTGTTGGGAAGTGAGTGTCGCACAATCGCAAGTCTGCTGCCATCAAAAAGTGCGATGGTGTATTTAATATAATTTAAAATATAAATATAAAATTAATTGATAAAATATATAATTTAATTTTTCAAAGAAAAAGGAGGTATGATGAGAATCTTTTACTTTGATTAAAAATTCTCAATTCCCAAAATTCCAAATAATCCAAAGAATTTATATTTCTAAAATATAATAATTTAAAGTAATTTTAAAAGCGAATAATTAGGTAACAAATTAAGATTCCAATCCCCATTATATATTTATTAAAAATATAAAAAAAAGATTTCGAATAAAATAAAATATATAATATTCGAAAACAACAAAACTCCAATGCTACAAGCAACTGACAGCTCGACAATAACAATAATATTAATAATAATAATAAAACAACTCAATGATTTAGTCCCTTAATTACAGCGAAATTATATAAATTAATTTAGCTAGCTGTCTCGTGCTTAGTTGGTTATGGCTTTTACGAGATCGGGTTCCTTCTCGTCTACCTTGACAGGACATGAACTATATAATAAGACAGCATATCGTCTAGACTAATTTATATTTATGATTAAATTGTTTTAATCATGCACCATCATTTTAATAATAATTTTATTTTATAAAAACACGTTCATATTTTATTAAAAAATTAGACACAATAATGTAGATTTTTATACGACGACAATCGTACAATATATTACTCTGTACTCCAAAAATTTAGTGTAGCATGAATTTTACAAATTAGGAAGAGTTTACGTTCTTCGGGTGCTTATATGACCCATTTAGGGTTTTGTCGACTTCTTTTCTCGTTAGGTCAGAAAAAGGATTGAATTGGGCTCGACTAAGATCGTTGGATCCAAGAAAATGCTTAACGTCGAGGGTGACTAGGAAATTTTGGCTTCTCTACCCAACATATTGAGGTAGGATTAATTATTTATCTATATTTTTAATTATTGTTTTCTTTATTTATTTAGGAATGATGAAATAATTAACAGCGAGGAGAGAGAAAATCATATAAAAAGACAAGAGAAAAAAATAAAGGTAAAAGCAAGATAAATAAATAAATAAATTTATGGTTTTATTTTATTTATTTATTTATTTATTTATTTTTGGTAAGATTTTAGAGAATTCATTTAATTACACTTTTTTAGAAAGTAATATTGGTTTTCATAATAGAATAATGGGAGTGGTTGAAATTATGTTTTCACTTTACAACTTTATGAAATAAATAAATAAATAAGATGTGGAGATCTTAAATTTTGACGATATTAATTCAACAAAGTAATTAGAAAATCGATAATTTTATTGACTAATTTCGTTCAATTATTTTCTTTAAAAAATACAATATTGACTAATGTTTTTTTTTATTATTATTATTATTAGTAGTAAGGTATTTTAATTGTTGTTTTCAAGTTGAGCGAGAGAACGCTTTGCAAAAACGTGATACGTGATATAATATCTTTATGATTTTCATCTGATCACGTGTAGCATTATCGTTCTTTGTCTTCATAAATCATGTGCTACAGATGGAGACCTCAAAAAGACTAGTTAAAAACAAAAGGGACAAATGAACATGAGGTTAACTCGGCTCGTGCAAGGTCATATTCAATGTTCGAGTCACGAGATTCTATTATAGGGGTTTGAAATTTAAATCTAACACGCAGTAGCCTTGACACTATACAATATCTCCACTTGTTTGAATTAAATTGTGTTCGATATTGAAAGATTTTTTCATTAATCAACCTATCTTTTCAAAAAGTTCAAAAATATATTTAAGTCATTGATATTATTTTTTTTATTTTTTATTTTTCCATTAAAACCATTTACCATTATTAAAAAAGTTCAAAAAAATGATTATAGTCCATATATAAACAAACTACCTTACATAAATTATCTTTGAACTTATTCCAAAACTAACAACCAACTAACATATTCCATCCAAAAACAACTGGTAAAGTATTTTTAATTCTTTTAAAAAAATTAAGGGTATTATTGATTTTTTTTTTTTTTAAGTTTAGGGATACTGTGGAAAATTCAAAATAAGCCTAAAAACAATAAAAGAAATATAAATAAGAAAAAATGGTCTCTCTTCTCTCATCTCATTTCTCTTCCAATAAAAACATAGGCATGAGAAGAATTTTATAACGATTCAAGCCCATAGCTAGTAGATACGGTTCTTTTTAGTTTTTTCTTCCAAGTTTCTTTTCGAAGTTTTTAAAATAGGTTTGGTAAGGAGAGGTTTCTACATCCTTATAAAAGAAAGAGAGCCTAACGAGACAATATCCACCAGCAATGGATTTGGACTAGATCGACAATTCTAAACAAAAGGTTATGTAATGGCCTAAGAAAAGCCCAACCAAAGGGTTCCACTCACAGAGAATAAACTTTCGTTGAGAAAGATGAAGAGATAAAAGGAGCCTAAAAGAAGACCCAACTAAAGGAAGGACTCCAATCCAATCCAATCCAAAAGAATAAAACTTAGCTTTTAAGTTGCTGATTAGTCCTTTTAAACAAATTCTGAAGTTGCAGATTCGCCATATGGAAAGTCAGAGCAGAAGAGCCAATAGTTTCTATATACATTATCCCTCTCTAGCACTTCTTACAACTAAATAATATTGGATTCCACAATATAGATGACTTATAACACGTGAATTAATATAAATGTGATGAAAAAAATATCCAAACAATTCACTAATTAACTTCCTTCAGATGCAATTTCCTTCTTATATGATTGTGTGCAAATTGATGATGAATAGAACTCACGAGTTTGATGCATCACCAGAAGGCACAGGTCGGGCATTTAATAGATGCTGAAGGGCTTTGACAACGATGCTCATGTTTGGCCGGAAATCTGCCTCATATTGCACACACAAGGCTGCAACAGCTGCCAACTGCAATAACGTTGCATTAGCTATTAGGTTCTTGTAACAACTTATTAAATATGGCAATATAAATAAACATGTTCTTCGCCAACCTCCTCATTCCCACCTCTCTCTCTCTCTCTCTCTCTCTCCCTCTCTCTCTCTCTCTCTCTCTCTCTCTCTCTCTCTCTCTCTCTCTCTCTCTCAGATTCTCAGAAAAAAAATAATAAAATAAAATAAATTCCTGGTCTTCCTTTCTCAAGGAAAATTAGATTCCAAAAAATTGGCAATAAGATTGATAGAAAATTTACTATAAGATTGATAGAAAATTTAGCTTCTTAAAGAAGCTTTTAAATGAATTCTTCATAATCCATCATATGAGTACCGACTTTGAGAATTGATGGGAGAGGAGGCCAATTAAGGGGTTGATTATGAATTTATAAGTAAGGAATACATCTCCATTAGTACGAGGCTTTTTGGGAAAATCAAAAGCAAAGTCATAGAGCTTATGCTCAAAGTGGATATACCATTGTGAGAGTCATGGTTCCTAACACATAACTCCCCCAAGATAAAGAGATCCCAATGCCTCTCCCAAGTCCAAAAAAAAAAATGGAGAACTGCTTAGCAGTATTCAAATTACCTTTGCTACTGCCTTTGGGGGGTAGTCTCCGCCAAGCCTTCCATCGACACACTGCCTAACTTTATCTTCACTCAGTTTTGGTGCAGCCTAATACATTAAGATGACCCTGTAAGTTAACTTGCATGCAGAGGAGATAATATATAATCCAATTTTGAAGAGGCAAGAGTGAAGGAAAAAGAAGGGAAAAAAGTGAAAGGCAAAGGGAAGAAAGACAAGAAAATCACCCAAGTAACTAGACTTTGTTGTCCTCGTGGTAGCGTAGGATCTACAGGTTTTCTCCCTGTCAGGAGTTCAAGCAAGACTACACCAAAGCTGTATACATCACTCTTGGCATTCAACTGACCAGTCATAGCATATCTGCAATATATAGAAACAAAGTAAACAACTATTTTGGCTCAAGAGGAATGCATTAATTCTTTCTTTTAACGAGAAAACCAAGATTTTATTGAGAAAAATGGAAGAATACAAAAGGGAAAGAGACATGCAATTCTATCCCAGGTGAAGAAACTACCAAGTAATTACCAATTATCAGAGAATTCACCTACATACAGTCATCTGTAATAATAATTTGGGTTTACAAATTCTCTTCCAGGTGTGGCAGCTGGAAATACTAAAGGTGAAATATTAGACATTGGCACAATTGATCAGGTACTTGCAAGTTTCTTGGTTCACTAAACATGAGATTACGTCAAAACTCACAAGAAATACGGTTGGAGATGGAAATGTAATTATTTTCTTGTATGTGAACAGTGAAGTAGGCAGAATTGTATTTTAAGTCAAAATCCAATGAAGCCAAAAATATAGAATTCATAATAGAAAATTTTATGATAGTAAAATCCATTTGAATTTTAGTTTCTCAATTGATCAGAGATAGACATCTTACTCAGGAGCATGATAACCAAAAGTTCCAAGAACACGGGTAGAATGAAGACGTGCTGCCATATCAGGAGCTTGATTGGATAAATCAAAGTCAGCAATTTTAGCAACATCATTATCAAAGAGAAGTACATTGCTGGACTTAATATCACGATGGATAATGTGGGACTCGGCCTTTTCATGCAAATACTCAAGTCCTCTAGCTGCCCCCACAGCAATTTTCACACGTTGTGCCCATGATAGAACGGGACCAGGCTGGGCTCCTTTTACACCTTTTCTTCCTACGTAAAAGTGCATGACAATACATAAGATTAATAACTTGAAAAACAGTGAATGATATCTGGTAGTAGATGTTTATGATACATAGGTACAGAAAAAAAAATGTAAACTTAAAAAACATATCGAGTTTTTAAAAGTTTTTGACCAGTAAAGTTGGGACACGAATCATGATTATACGTACCGTGAAGAATATCATGAAGTGATCCATTAGAAGCATACTCGTATGCTAGTATGCGGGAACTCCCATCAATGCAATAACCAAGCAATTGAACAAAATTTTCGTTCTTCAACCTTGAGACCATGGAGACCTAAACATAATCATATTTTAGACTTGATAAGTATGAATGATGAAAAGTGGGGGTTTTTTTTTTTTTTTTTTGCTCTGTATATGAACCTGGGCTAGAAACTCGTCATCAGGCTGTTTGCTTGCATCTAACTTCTTGATCGCAGCAGGCTGCCGGCTTTTAAGCAACCCATAATATACTCTTCCATATGAACCCTCTCCAATTAAAGCATCATTTCCAAAGTTGTCTGTTACTTCCGATAGTTCATTGAGGGGTATGCTAGGCACTAATATTGGTTGCATTTTGACAGCTTGAGTAACTGCTGGTGCAGCTTCGGGTTTATGATAACCTCCATTGTTTCCTGTAATACAATATTCAATATAAAAATTACGAACTAATGAATTACATTATTTCGAGAGCAAAATCACGGGAAATAAGTGGGAAAATACGTTTTTTGCAATCTACAGAAATGACATTGAAAAAAAAAATCCTTTTAATTGCTACTAGATAAGTTTCCAAATCTTCTCATGGTGCTAACAGATTACCTGAAGTGTTTTTTGCTGCATACATGCCTCCATTGTCAGCTGCTTTCTGAATTTCATCTTCCTCACAGCAGCGAAAGCAGCTCATCTTTTCCCTAAACTGACCAAAGTCCTCATTAAGTCATCTTTAAAAGGAGAAAGCATCTCTATGAAATAGATAAAATTAAATAAAGCTAAAACGTAACTAGATAGTTAAAACCAAATTTAAGAACCAAAAGTCCCGAAAACGCACCAAAAGTCTCAAGACCAATTTTCCAAAAAATTTAACTCCACCGAAAATTAATCACACCAAAAGTTCGAAATCTTAAAATGTATCAAATCCTCCTAACGCCACAAACAACAAAAAGCAGCAGAATCATTTCATCGTTCAACTCAAAGAATCGCAGCACACGCTACTGCCGCTACGCATCAACTCATTCCAGTTCAACCGTATAATTTCCAGATCAAACAAGTAGCAGCCAATAAACCAACAAAAAAACAAAATAATAATAATAATAATAATAAGCAAGAAACAACAAGTCAATTGACTCAAATTCATCAAAATTAACATCATCGCCTCCAATTTCCACAAAACCTACCCATTCACCGATAGCATAAGAACACAACAAACTAAAATCGAAATCACTAAAATCAAAACTAGCAAGAGCTTGATAGCAGTAAAAGGATCCATCTATACCAGAAAAACAGAGTAATCCAACAAACTTTAAGTGTTGAAAGCTTCGATCGGAGTGATGAGAACAAAATGTAAAGAAGAGTATCTGTTTGTCGTCGTTCTGGTACTACGTGATCTGAGCTCCGGAGCCGGCGAAGATTGCGCTCCGTATTTTATTCTGTAAACTTTATCTCTATATTAGCTTTTTCTTCCCTCCTCAAAGGGAATTATTGCCTTCCTTTTTTCCCTCTTTTTTCTTATATATATATATATATATATATATATATGTATGTATTTTTTTTTTTTTTTTTTAAATTGAAAGTCTTGGTCAATCCAAAAGTAATTAATAAATCCCATAGATTTTTTTATATATTTTTTAAAGGGCATGTATCTAAACTTTTACATGACAATAATTTTTTCAAATATTTAAAATTTTAACTTATTATTTTTTATTTAAAATAATATTTTAAAGCAGTTGTTGCATAGCTCGGGTCGAAGCAACGCGCCATAGGACGTTCAACAGGCAGTTTCACGCATGAATGCTAAAAAGTTGTCATTGTATATTTCCACAAGTCCGAACACGACAATTGAAAGAGGAGGATACTGAACGAGTTCTATCAATAATGAATTCTCCATACATCTCGAAGCGCCTATAAAAAAAAATACTCCGAAGGCTTTAGGATCGAGTTTGACGGTTGAAGTTTGACGGTTGAAATTTCAAAAAGGGACAAATACTTTATGAATTTTCTTTTTGTCCTTTAATAAATAATATAAGAAGACTTTTCAATATTAAATTGATAAATTAATAATTAATTATATTTATGTTATTTTAAAAATTAAAAATTTATTAATTTGAAAGGACGAAATTGTTTAATTAATTTGTTTATTCATTTTGAGGTTGTCGAATTTGACTTTCACGCCTGGTCTTCAAGCGCGTCGTTATGGTCCAAGGTGGAAATTTAAACAAAAAAAACATTTACCACGTGTCAATAAATGATTGGTTGAGTTCATGAAATTTCAGCTGCCGAGGATGTTGACTCGGTCTCTACCAAATTCGAGAATTGTCTTTTCCGCTAATCTTATTGGAATGGAACTATTTTTTTTTTAGGTTAAATTACCTTTTTCCCCCTCAAATTACGAATTTATTAGATTAAAGAATTTAATAATTTTTTTATTTTCAGCGAATTATTTAAAATTATCTTTAATAAAATATGGATATTTATCATCTTTTGGAAAATAAAATAAATCAATTTCAAACAACATTATTAATTTATTTTCTAAAAAACATAATAATAATAATAACAATAAAAGAATGGTAATTTGATGGGCTGACTACCACTGTGTTGATCCAAGCCCATAAACAAGCACAACCTGAAAATCTTTTTTTTTTTTTTTTTTTTTTTTAATCTAATGAGTTTTATATATTTAAAAAACTCGACTTAATCGAAATGCTAGAATTAATATCTCGACGTTATACCCTTTCCGGCAAAAATTATAAAAATTTGGGCAGCATCAAGACACTTGATGCATTGTCTCAATGCTACAGACAAAAAATCAAATGATGCACGTATTCCATAGCGTCGAGGTACGTCTTGGCTTTCTTATGTAACGTTGAGATGCTCTTCTATAATGCCTCAATGCTACTCTCGTGGGTAGAATAGCTCGAGTGTTACAAAGTCAAACATCTAGTTGTTCTAGGAGCATTGAGAAGCTCTCCTATTTTTTGTCTCGAGCTCCACTAAAGACGTCACAACTTGTATGGTATCATCAAGCCATAAATTATAGCCTACTCATCATAAAGTTTGTAAGTAATAGACATGTGCAAGAAAAGCGTATCAACGAAGGCTCAAAGATAAAATTTATAATCTTTTTATACCTTTTCAAGGGTCGTTTTCAAAGCTATCGTGTAATTGGTTTCTTCACACGAAAAAATGACTTTAGGTACCTTTCACAAATAAGACGATATAATTGATTTAAGTAAAACATGCATAACCATGAATTTCCAATAATTGGTATATGCAGTAACTTTCATTTCTAAGTCTTTCTTAGTCATCATATCATCATATCACTCTTAGTTGAATGTGGTCCCAGTTCTCACCGAAAAATAAAGGTGCACCTTATTGATCTAGGTAGTAAATATTTTTTTATTAAATAAATAGCACTTTTTTTGTGATTTTTTAAATTAAATTACAATTTTAAATTTTTTTAGTGACTAGACTTATTCCTATCAATAAAACTTATATATTAAATATATATATATATATTAAAAAAATTTAAAGACTAATGTATCAAATTAAAAAAAAAAAAAATCAAACTCAAAATTTAGAAGAGAAAATATAATTTTTATTTTTATTTTTATTTTTATTTTTAAAAATATCGTTATTTAGTGTGAGCATTGCTTTAATGATATTGAAACAATATTGACAAATAAATATATAAAAAATCTATTAATTTTAAAATTTATGTGAAATAAAATTAATTAATTTTAGAAAATTATGAAAAAATTAGACACAAATATAAAAGTTAGGGACTAGATATGTAATTTCACTTTTTTTTTTAAACCTTTTTGTCCAATACGACAATATTTTACCTTAATTAATTAGAATAAAAATTTCTTAATTGCCATATATTTGTTAAACGACGTCGTTCTGTCTAACAAGTAGATTTATAGGTAGCAAACATAAAAATGACGTTCTATTTCTTTGAAGAATTTTCAAAGCAATATAATAATTCTTTTTTATTTTTACAAAACATATATAAATATTAAAATTTTCACTGTGTAAATTCTCCACAATTTTATTTTAAATCTTTAATTTAAGTACTTTTTCATCTATACTTAATTTTTATATCTTTAATAAATCTTAAAAATAAAAAATATATCTTTATTAGTGTTTACTATAATTTTTTTATTTAATTAATTTTCAAAATTATTAAAAATACGAGAACAAAATATAGACATTAAAAAGTACAAAGATTAAAATACAAAAAAAAAAAAAAACTAAGAGTCGATGATTTTTCTTTTCTATTTCAAACTTTTTTTAATTAAAAAAACGTTCGAGTAAGTAGCCATACAGTGTCACATGGCCACTAACTAGCCTGGTACTTGAGAAGATGGAAAAAAAAATATAAAAAATAAATAAAATTAATATTAATAAGCCATGAATTAAAGGAAATTTAATTTTGAAGTTATAATATGTTTTGATGGTACAGATTTAAAATTGATTATCCACATGGGAGATCAAGAGAACCATTTTAATAATTTTATATTTTAGTATATATTATATACTTTTAAAAATTAATTAATATTCGGTATATTTTGAAAATTTGAAGACCAAAAGTGAAAATATCAATTAACAATTGTCACTGTTTCAATTTGGATGACATCATTCTTAACTGTTGTTGTATAATAATGACACTCTAGACTGACTTTGTAATTAACGGTTGTCGTATATAGTCTAAGATGATGGTAAAAGAGTCCTGAAATACGTTTAAATTATGTGAGTTTGATCATATGTGAAGTACTGGAAAATAATGTTAATGTTCGTTTTTTGTGTAATGATTACGTTATTGAATAAGAAAGTCGTTCATTAATGAATTTATTAAATGAGAAAATAGTTTACCGACAGTAGAATTATTTAATCGTTGAGTAAATCAGTTAAAGGCACTCAAATTTATTTTTTATTATTTATTTTTATTATTATTATTATTATTGTCTTGGCTCAATCTTAAGTCACGTTCTTAAGTGAAAAATAAATAAAATTAATTTTAATTTCCATATTATTTTTTACCCGAAAAAAAAAAAAAAAACAATTTATTTATTCAATTATTGATTTTGGGTAAGTGGGGCAAGTGGGGCTGCCCGAATTAAATCGGCTGCCGCCCACCAACAGTAAATCCGACAGTAAAAACACTCCACATCAACCCAGCTAGGAATTCCGACATATTTTCCTTAATTTTTTTTTGTTTCCTTTTTTTTTTTAAATGATAATGGTTATTATTTATTATTATTAGTTCAATGACGGTGCATTCAACCTACATTATGCTCTATTTAACTCTACCTTTAACTTTAATTTCCTCCTAAAATAAATAAATAAATAAATAAATAAATAAATAAATATATATATATATATATATATATATATATATATTATATAATAGCTTTGGCCCATTATGAATTCACCTCTAAAAAATGTTAGATTCTAATATTTTATTTTTTTAAAACATTTTTAACTTAATAAAAAAATTCAATTCAATTTGAATAGATCCACTTAGTAAAAGAAATATTAACATTAAAATATGGTTTTGATTTACTTATGTGAACATGTGGGCGCATGCCACTCGGAATACATAGATATTGTTGATGAGTTGTATTTTATATGTCAAGCCGTATTCAAGTGGCTCTATATATGATAATAATAATAATAATAATTAAATAATATACAATGTTTAAGTTAAACAATTTCAATTTTTTTTTATTTTTTTTGTGAAATGTTCTTATTAATAGACACGATAAATTTTTGCTTAATTTTATTAATTATTTAATTTTAAAATAACTAATATATCATTGTTTTCTTTAGAAAAAAATGGCACAAATCACTCTTAATTTAAATATAAAATCTAAATTGAATAAAATATTAGAAATTTGTAATGTTTCATGACTAAAAATAAAGTATATATTTAAAATATAATAAAAATGAAAATATTATATTGAATAAATTGCAAACAAATGTTTATGATAAAATACGATAATTTGATTGGTTGTTGAAGACGTTTAGAAAAGTAACGGTCCATTTATTTTATTATTTTTCTTCAAATAATTGAGTCATCATTAATCGAATAAAAATTCTTTACTAAGTCCAATGTTTTGAGTCGGTCCACTTTCATTGATATGAAACATTATTATTTATTTTTTATATTTTTTCTTTTTAAATTTTAATTTTGGTGAGAATTTACGGATCTAATTCAACGTAATTATAATTTTTTTTGGATGGTTTGGTTAAGTCATTTATTCATAATTTTATTTTCAATAAAAATAAAACGTTAATTCATAAAACATTTATTTATTTATTTTTAACGATGTATTTTAGGTTTATTTTTCTAGAAAAATCTTCTTAAAGGAGTAATTAAAAAATAACTAATAAAAAATTATTATAAAATTAAATAAAAATATGTATATATATTTGCGCAAATATGTAAAAATTAACCATAAATTTAGGTTAATTCGATTTAATTTAAT